GCTGCTGGGCTCCGAGGACGTCAGTGGCAGGGCCCAGCCTTGGGCTCCCTTCCTTGGTTCTTGGGCGGGGGGGGGGGGGGTTCTTGGGCCAGTGCTCCCCGGGGGCACTGGCCTCGCCGTCCCCTCGGGGCGGGGCGCAGAGGGAGAAGGGGGGGTTGTCCATGGGGGCGAAGGCTCTGGCTGAGCAGGGGTACGGTCTCAGGAGCCAGGGGTTCCTGGCTGCTTCCCCCTTCTCTAACACTGTGACCCCCCAGGGAATGGCAGTGGCCCGGGTCTAGCCAGACACTCTTGTTTTCTCAATCACCCCAGGCCACAAATCTCCAGAGCTTATTCCCTGGCTCTTCCCATACACTGTGCCCATCTTGTACACAAGAGCGTGTGACCACCACATTCTGGCTCTAGAAAAACTGCTGAACTCCAATCTTAATCCTAATCCTTTCTACGTTTGTCAGTGTCAGCTGGGGCTTCAGCAAGGCTCACCTAGTCCTACCCTTGAGAATGAAATTTTTAGAGTTGAAAATACAAATCAAGTTCATAATTAAGAGGGCATATACATACATTTTTATTTACAATGAAAGTGGAGGCGAGAGACAACGACAGAGACTTGCATCCAGGGAGGTAAGGGCCAATATGGTGTGTGCTGTACGTTTGTGACCTAAGATAAAATCCGGAGAGGAAGAGAAGCCCGTCAGGAAACAGTGGAGTTGCCGTGAGCCAGGCTGAGGGGCCCTGGGCTGGTCATGTTCAAGGCCTTCAGAAAAGAAGAGAGCCCGTGTCCAGGCAGCTGCTAACCTGGGCCATTAGTTCAGAGCCACCCCCTCTCCAGACAGCACCACCGACCAGCCCCAGTTCTCTTGTCTCTCAGGAACAGGGATCAGTCTCTTCTGTCCCCTACTTCCCCCACGCACGGCCATTCCTTTCCCACTGCTCATCAGCGCGGTCCCAGAAGGAACGTTCGGGACCGAAGGCTGAGCTGTGACAAGCCTCCTTAGATGCCAGATGCCAGTTTGGAGAGGGGGGCGGGCGAGAAAGAACTGAGCATTAACCTCACATCCTCATTGCCACATTTTTAGCTTATCCGTCATTTGAGAACATTCTCCAAAATAAAAACAGATATGAATCCAAAGTGTCTTTCCAATCAGAAAAAAAGCACTTTGGCACTGTGAAGATGGTGAGATGGAAGAGAGCCCACTGGAAGTTTCCCGACGCACTGGGCTGGAGCGGACGGGGAGCCCTGCCCCTCGTGGAGGTCACAGCTGTGTTGTGGACAGTGTGACGGCACAGCTAATCTTCCGTGCTGAGCTCTGACCTGTCAGGTTTTAGGGGGCTTGTTGCTGCGGCGGTGGAGCGAGGTTCGTGTGCCCCTCCCCCACTCCTCTGCAGAACCCCTGCTGCCCCATGTGAGGGCAGTGGGAGGCAGGGCCCTCGGAGCTGACCGGGATTAGACGGGGTCACTGGTGTGGAGCCCTCGTGAGCGGGTAGGTGTCCTTACACCGTGAGGAGGGGACTTGCCTCCTCTGCCAGGTCGGCCACGGGACGACAGAGTGAGAAGGCAGGAAGGGACTCTCTCCGGAGCCACGCTGGCCCTGACATGTCCCCGGAGCTGAGAGACCACTCTGGCCCCGAGGCCGTCTCCCCAGCTGAGAGACACGAGCGTGTGTTGCTCCCGTGTCTCCCCGTGTGTGCTATTCCGTTAGAGCGACCTGGGCTTGACGTCGTTAGAAGCAGCGATTCGATAAGACTGGTGACGGGGTCAGGAGGTAAGACCTGAACACAGGCCATACCAGAACTACATGCAGGACGCTGGCCTCGCTGACACATATCCCCCAAAAGGGAAACCGCAAAGAGATAAAAATGCATTTAAATCTGGACAGCTTATAGGATCATTAATTCAGGCCATGGATATTTCATATTCATTTATTCATTTATTTATATTTTTAAATGTTTATTTATTTATTAATAATTTTTAAGTTTACTTATTTATTTTAAGAGAGAGAGAGCAGGGAGGGTCAGAGAGAGAAGGATAGAGAGAATTCCAAGCAGGCTCTGCACTGTCAGCACAGAGCCCCATGCCGGGGCTTGAACTCACAAATTGCGAGTGCATGACCTGAGCTGAAACCAAGAGTTGGCTTAACTGACAACTGACTCAGTCACCTGGTGCCTCCCTCCTCACTTTTTTTTTTTTTTTTTTAATGGTAGAAATGGCCTTTATCGTTTGCAATGGGAAGTGAAAGAGGAGCGAACACGACAGCTCCAGCTCCAGAGGCGGTCCCCCAGACCCTCTTGCTATCTCAGGAGAGCTATTTATTTTTGAGAGAAAGAGAGAGAGAGACAGAGCTGGGGAGAGGGGCAGAGAGAGAGACGGAGACACAGAATCGGAGGCAGACTCCAGGCTCCAAGCTGTCAGCACAGAACCCGATGCGGACCTGGAACTCACGGACCATGAGACCTGAGTCAAAGTTGGACACTTAACCAACTGAGCCGCCCAGGAGCCCCAGGACATGGATATTTTAAAATATGTATATACCTTTTCTGATATATATTACTTTTGAAGTAAGACTGCTGACTTATATGGAGACATATAAAAGCAGCAGGAAAACAAACAAACAAAAAGAACAAATAAATGCAAGGGAATGTGAATTATATATTTACAAACATTGTATCATGACAAATAAGGCCTGTAAGGAGCCACATACTATCTATCTCAAATATACTCTGAAGAAGTGAGTCTGCCATCTGCCAGAGAGTTGCAGCCCGCAGAGGCTGGTGACAGTGCTACTCGGGGCTCGTCTGGAAGTTCCCCTGCATTTTCCGTATATTCTACTTTTTAGCGACAGTTCAAAAACAAGTGCTATAGTGCTCGCTTCAGCAGCACATATACAAAAACAAGTGCTATAAATTTGGAAACAATGTTGAAATATCTCATGGATAAATGTCTAACAGTGGATCTCAGGGCTCTCAGGACTTTAAAATATCTCTGCTCTGTTTAACTGACTTTTAGTTTAATACATAGACCATTAAAAAATTTATTACTTACCTGTATTCTTTATTGTGTTTGTTTTGAGAAAGCACAGGCACGTGCCTGTGTAGGCAGAGAGGGGACAGAGGAGGGAGACAGAGGAGGAGGGAGAGAATCTTAAGTAGGCTTCACACTAAGTGCACAGCCCCATGTGGGGCTTGATCCCAAGACCCTGGGATCATGACCTGAGCCAAAATCAAGAGTCAGTCACTCAACTGACTGAGCCACTCAGGCACCCCCAATACATAGGTCATTTTGATGGAATTTGGTACCAACATGTAAATAGGCCACAAATGGAGATCTATATAATACAGTCAAAATACATGTTCTGAATAATTTCTATACTAAGTTATGGCAGTAATGATGCATATAGTCCAAAAGAGTCATCTGAACTTTATAGAGACTTGACTATAAATGCTTTGACTGTTCATACAACTACAAAAATACAGAAAAGTTCTCCCAAAGAGGAAAAATGGTCAACCGCACAGCCAGTCATCTGATGTATGTACACAATGAAAAGTAGAAACTCTGATATCAACTCTTGTCTTCTATGGCCCTTGACGAACAGTCTCTTGGATCATGTGGTAGATTTCCTTATACAACTTTAGGAAAATATTTCTATTAACTTTGGAAAGAAATATACTCTTTTGTACTTAGATCTGCACAAAGAGATGAAGATCTCTGGTATAAATGAAGGTAAATATAAATTTCTATTTTTCCTTAGCTTAGCTGCTCTAAAAGATATTTGATTATCTAAAACAAAGATCAGTGGTATCAATATATTTTGTTTTTAAAGGATATAGTACAAAGGATGGAGGGTAGAATTGGAAATATATTGTTGTAAGGCCCTTACACATGACACAAAGTACTATAATATTATTTGAACATGGACTGTGATGGGTTAAAGATGTATATTTAAATCCTAGGGTAAACACTAAAGTTTTTTGAAAATGAGGTAAAATAGTAAGTCTATAGTATATATAAAATGGAGCCAAAAAAAAAAAAAAGAACCCCAAAGCTCCACCACTCAAAAAATCCAAAACAAGGCAGAAAGAGATGGAATGAACAAATAACTATAAAATGGTAAAGTTCAATACCCGTCTCATAACTACATTAAATGCAAATGGTCTAAGCACACTAGTTAAATCACAAAAAAAAACTGTTTGGATAAATGAAAAGATTCGATAGAAAAACAATACCCGAGAATACACTGTTATAAAAAAAGTCACTTTAAATATGAAGACATAGGTTAAAAAAGTAATAAATCTAGCTCAATCCCCTATGTATTAGGGCCGACAGTAAGTCCAGTGCTGGTCAGGCATCACTGCCATCCGTTCTCCACCCACAGTGAAACTGCACAAAAACGTAAGAATCTACAGGTAAACAGGAGGCCCGGCCCTTTAGTCTACACCGTTGCCACAGCTACATTTGTTCCTTCCACTACGTACCATGTGACGCTGTTTTCAGTCCCTGCTCAGATGCCTCCAAGCACTGGGCAGGGAGACAGACGCCCTTTAGGATATACTTCTCTACTGGCCACTGACTTGGCTACAGAGGATCCTCCCTTTCCTCTCGAGACTGCAGCAGCTGGCGACAGTGGTCACCCCATCTGAGGCCCTCGCCCTCTAGGGCGCTGTGTGGGAGCCACTCAAGGCCCCACTATTCGTAGTGCTGCACAGCTTCCCACCCGTCCCAATCCTGGGACTCTCTTTCTCTCCCCAGAGTAGATCCGTCTCTTGTCTTGAATAATTCAGCTCTATCCTCCAATTAGCCTACATTAAAAAATAAAAACATGTTAGCTCTTTCATGGTGACCAAGAAACCCTAGACTTCGGCTTACAAGGCTCTGGATTCTGTCTGCAAAGGAGGCTGTGATGTGGTGAGGAAATACCTGTGCATAGGTCAGACATACATTCACCCATAAATAATAGGAAAATCACTTACAGCCACTTGAAAGATAGAAGCTTATTTTTCTCACTTACCAAGAAGAGCTGGCCTTGGTTCTCTGGGTCACTGATGTCAGGGTTGATGTATCTGATTCTCCTGACCTTTCTCCTGTGGTTACAAGATGATACTGCAGCTCTAGCCATCAATTCTGCATTCAAGACAGAAAGAAAGAGAGAGAGGGGAAGAGGCCACATTGATCTCAACTGTTTTCCTTTTTTTAGGAAAGCAGAATCTTTCTGAGCACCCCCTCTCCCTCCACCAGCACGCTCCAGTTGTGTCTACGTGTGAGTGCTGGGTCCCGGGGCCATCGCTGATGCAAGGAAAGATGGAGAAGTATCTTGGTTTGTAGGCTGTAGAGTTAAAGGCACAAACAGACACGAGGTTTGGGAGTGGCTTTTTAGTAGTCATTTACCATTATCTTCCGTCGCCCCCCCATCTTTCCTGATGAGTAGGAAACAAGGCAGAGTGAATTTCTCAAACACAAGGTCCCGCTATTTGTGTCACAGCAGGTTATTACAGAACTGTGAGGTCCAGGCTGCAGATGGACACCACAGAACTCCAGCAGGTCACATAAAGAAAGAACATATTGTGCATCAGACACTGGGGGCGAATGGCCAGAGGAGAACAAAGGTTGGAAGAGTTGGGAGTGAAATGAGGCAGAAACACAGAGACACTGAGACAGAGAAGCACAGAGGAAGCAACAGCCCGAGGGCCAATGTCCGAGGGCAAGAAATGTCAGATGCCGTGTTAGGGCCGGGGCAGCACATTGGTGGCTGTCTCCCCCTACATAGATAGAATGAAGGAATTCTGCAGGCCACATCCAACAGATCTGTTTGTCACTGTCATTTTGATCTTATCATATACCTGTTCTGCAGTGGGAGAGCATGAGTTACACAATGAAATCTGACATATCAATAAAGGTATACCTGATAAATATAGTTTGTTTATGATCTTTAAGAAAAGATACTCAGACATCTGATAAACAATCTGATAGGTGACAGGTCACTAAGAGTAAAAACACAGAAGCCAGAGAAATTTAGATAAATTATGCATTCAATCCTGCATCCCAATTCCAAAAATTTCAATTCTGTTTATGCTATAAATTCCCTTTCCTTTCTTAATGTTTATTAATTTTGAGATGGGAGAGAGGGTACACATGTGAGTGTGGGAGAAGGGGAGAGAGACAGAGAGAATCCCAAGCAAGCTCTGCACTGTCAGTGCAGAGCCGGACACGGAGATTGATCTCATGAACCATGAGATCATGACCTGAGCCAAAACCAAGAGTCGGATGCTGACCTGACTGAGGCAGCCAGGCGCCCCTAAATTCCTTTCCTTTCCCTAGGCCCAGATTACTGGGAATTGAACCTGTGCAAATGTGAATACACACCACAGAGCCTGCTTTCTTACTCCCTTTGCTCTTAACTAATTTATCAATTCAACAAATAAGTAGAGAGCACCCACTCTCCCCTTATCCCTGACCTACTTCCCACATTTGAGACCTCAAGGGAATAATGACGAGAATTACAGGTGGCAGTTTGGGCTGAGGAGATAGAAGAGAAAACATATCCACTCTGGACAGATTTGCAGAAACTTCTCTCTCCCTCCATCTCAGGTCCTGGAAGCAGAGATCAGTAATAAATCAGGAGGATCAATTACATGTCTAGTTCAGCCGCTATCACGATGGGTAATGTCACAAGACTTCTCTCCATTTCACTGCCTTTATATGAAGACAAAACTGGTATTATTCCTTTCCTGTTCCCTTTCATCTCTCTTGTCCAACTACCTACCAGATCTGTCACACAGATAAATGGGACATTGCTGGTCACATGTCTCTGGGAAAAAGCAAAACCAAACTATAAATGAAAAACATTTTTCTTCAACAGAGCTTTTATGTTTACCCCACATGGGTCAGCTCAGGAGGAAGGGCGTGCAACTGTCTTGAGAGTATTAGAGAACTCTGTCACCCACATTTGCACAGCTGCCTGTTCTATTTATAGATGTTCACCAGAATGCATATATGCTTCTTTGTCTGATACCTCACTCTATGTCACATCCATGTATGATCTTATCATCTCCTGTAAAGTTCCTTCTTACCATCATCACCTTCATTTATATAACCCAGAATGGAAGAGTACTTACAATGTGCCAGGCACTCATTGTTCTAGACACTGAGGATACAAAAGTGAATGAGACAAAATTTCATGTGCTTTTGAATCTCTTACATCCTAATAGACACACACAATGAACACATACACACACACACACACACACACACACACACATATAGACATGCAGTGTCAGGAGGGTAGTAAGACTGAAAGAAAACAAAGCAGGCCAAGAAGGTTGAAAGAGATGGGGAAGGAACACCGTTTCAGTAGTTTAACTTAGCAGTAAGGAAATGCCTCTCTGGAAAGTTGACATTTGAGCACAGACAGGTAAGAACTGAAGAAGAGAACCACCAATGTATCTAGATGACTAAGAGCCAAGGCAGGGGGACACCAATGACAAGGGCCTAAAGTGGGAACGTACAGAGCAAACTCAAGGAACATCAAGAAGAGTAGGAAGGAAGGTGAGCAGAGAGGCGGATAAAGACGAGATCACATGGACCTTATATGGCATGGCGAGGACTTTACCCTAAGTGTGAAGGATATAAACAAGGAAATAAGATAATCAGACCTACATTTTAAAAGGTTCTCTCTGACTGCTATCCAGAGAACAGAACAAGAGTGGAATCAAAGTGATCACTTGGGTAGCTACTAGCATGATCCAGAGGGTAGAAAATGGCAGCTGGGACTAAGACAGTAGTGACGAAGGTAGTGGGAGACAGTGAAATTGTGATAGGGGTTAAAAGCAAATCCAACAGGATTTTCTGTTAACTTGAATGAGGAATATGAAGAACGGAAAAGCTATGGTCAATTCCAAGATATGTGGCCTGGTCCAACTGAATGAATACGGGTTCCATCTGGTAAAAGAGTGAGCACTAAGGGAGAGGTGGGTGTGTGGGAAGTGGTGAAGGGAATTCACGGTTCAGTCTAGGGCATGCTTAATTGGAGATGCTAATACAGATCAGAGAGGCAATGCTGGGGAAGCAGATGGGCATACTGGTGTCAAATACAGAAAAATGACTGGGGCTGAAAATATGAATTTGGGAGTCATAAATGAACTTAGGGGTTATAAATTTTAGAGTCATTTTACAGAACTGGAAATCAATTGAAGAAATGTTTTTATTTAAGTTTATTTATTTATTTTGAAAGGGATGGGGGAGAAAGAGAGCGAGTGAGCATGCAGAGGAGGGGCAGAGAGAGAGAGGAAGAGAGAGAATCTCAAGCAGGCTCCACACTCTTAGTGCAGAACCGGATGTGGGGCTTGATCTCATAAACCATGAGATCATGACCTGAGCTGAAACCAAGAGCTGGATGCTCAACCAACTGAGCCACCCAGGCGCTCCAATCAAAGAAATGGTTATAAAAGGAGGATGTGGTCAATGGGATCAAATTATTTCTGAGAAGCTGAGTAAGACTGACCAAAAATTGACCATTGGATTTAGCCATCTGAAGGTTGGTGGGGACCTTGATCTGAATGGATTCAGTATATTAGTGGGATCAAAATCCTCAAAATTTAAAACAAAAATTTTTTTTAATGTTTTATTTTATATTTGAGAGAGAGCATGCATGCTTGAGTGAGGGAGGGGCAGAGAGATGGAGACAGAATCTGAAGCAGGCTCCAGGCTCCGAGCTGCAAGCTGTCAGCACAGAGCCTGTCACAGAGCTCAAACCCACTTGCTATGAGATTATGATCTGAGCTGAAGTTGGACACCCAACCGACTGAGCCACCCAGGTGCCCCCAAGTCCTCAAAGTTTTGAGTAGACATTTATTATTGAAGACCTGTTAAATCAGTCTTTACAGATGAATTATAAATTTCATGAATGTAAGAATGATGTCTGTTATACTCTCCATTTTTTGGCTCCATTGTTTGGTTCACTGCCTGGCACACAGTTAATGTTCCACAAAGGTTTGTGGGCTATCCCATTCTGTTCAGATTATTTTAAAGGAACTGGGAGGCATCTGGCTGGCTTGCATGCTGGTAGAGTATGCAACTCTTGATCTCAAGATTGTAAATTCAAGCCCCACGTTGGGTGTGAAGATTATTTAAAAATAAAATCTTACATATGTTTGCACGCATAGGAGGATTAGGAGGAACTTAACGGAGGACCGTGGGGGAGAAGAAGGGGAAAAATAGTGGGGGAGAGGGAGGGAGGCAAACCATGAGAGACTCTTGAATGTGGAGAACAAACTGAGGGCTGATGGAGGTGGGCGGAAGGGAAGGGAGGTGATGGGACTGGAGGAGGGCATTTGTGGGGATGGGCACTGGGTGTTATATGGAAACCAATTTGACAATAAACTATTTAAAAAATAAAAAACAAAATCTTAAAAATAAAGAAATGGACTGGTAGAAATTCCATTGAGGTTGTACAGTGTTTATAGATTTATTGGCGATTATAATGAAATGGGGAAGGGTAATCTATAAAGTCATTGAAAGATCACTCTTTTATTTTGATAAACATTGACTTTTAAGCTTCAAATGGTGAATGCGTTTCAAGATTATACTATGAACAGGGGCGCCTGGGTGGCTCAGTTGGTTAAGCGTCCAACTTTGGCTTAGGTCATGATCTCACGGTTCGTGGGTTCGAGCCCCACATCAGGCTCTATGCTGACAGCTCAGAGCCTGGAGCCTGCTTCAGATTTGGTATCTCCCTCTCTCTCTGACCCTCCCCTGCTCACACTCTCTCTCTCTCTCTCTCTCTCTCTGAGAGAAATTAAAAAAAACCCACACAATTAAAACATTAAAAAAAAAAAAGATTATACTATGAACAAGAGAGGCCTGATATGTGGTAACCTGAGATTAAAAATGCATATTTTAACTATTACTTGATGTATTAAGTAAAAAAAATGAACCCTGAGAGAAGTCATGAGGGGCAAGCAGAATTTCTTTTTATTTTCCTTGTAGAGGAAAATAGAACATTTCTGTGTTCAGAGAGCCAGGCCTGTGTCTGTGAGCACATTTCCTGTACACACTTACTTAATTAGGCAACAGTATCGATTTTAGAACAGGTAAAATCTGAGATTGTCCATTTGTTCATATTAGCT